ACCCAATTTCATAGAGTTGAGTAATGGCGAAGTAGGTAAGAAAAGATCGAGAGGTGTATGCTTTCTGCTTCCAATTTCACCTACAAGAGGAGCACGACTTATGTTGGGCGCACTAGGTTCAGTAGGTAGGAGACGTGTCACATAGAATGATACGGTTTGCATCAAAACGCTGTCCGCTGATTGTATTGTAGGCTGAAATCTAACCTAAATCTGTGAAATCTTTCCAGTGGATGGAGAAGTGCAGTTACACCGATGAGTGAAAATCAGAAAATGGAACTGGTGAAGAAAAACACCTTATTCCTTCGTACGTACCTCGATACTTGAATCGGCTTGTTGGCGTATCTCTTGCCAGAGTTCATTAGAGAGGCCATCATCGGCTTCAAGAATTGTCTAAAAGTAAGGTAGGTGAAAGACTACAGGGAAACACAGCAGGATAAAATGCAAAAAAAAAAGAGATGCAGATTACATAGTTAGAATTAAAATTCAGAAAACTGTTTGTTATTTAAGCAAAACTTTAAAGTAAATATACATACCGAGCGCTGGCGTAGATGGGAAAAAGTTTACTTTGAACTTACATAACCGGATTAAAAACCATAGAAAACGTGAAATAATACCCGAACGCCAAGAAATATAAGAAACCTCAAAAAATGACGACTTGCTGTTGATAATCTCATGTACAAGGTGAAAAGGATGTTGAGCCAATTGTTGATCATTTGTTGGTGGCATGATAGCGCATAAATCAATCGCCCTATTTCGGAACAACTTCTGAAGAGAAAATAGGAACGTTTTTACAAATCTCTCAGAAAAAATATGGTAAGACCTCAATGACCAATCGAGCATATGCGGAACTGCGTCTTGAAGGACTCATTTCTTTTTCTTTGTTCAGAAGTTCGCGACAAACTGCGACCACTGGGTCCACATAGGTGTTGTTATTAACATAACTATTTTGCTCGCTATTGTATCCAGAAGTGAGATTAGCTAATCCCACTATGTTCTTCATCTGTAGTAACCATACTTTATTGATTTTACCAGCGAAATTTATTGTTAAGTAGATTGGATCTGCTGCACCACAGTAATTTGTTCTCGTAACTTTAGCCAACATTTATCTAACAAAACATCTTTTCAAACATCCCGATTCAATAAATAATAATACAGATGTAAACGCACACAAGGATAAACTTAAAATTGCTAGCAGTCAACAATTATATCGATATAAATCCAAAACATCTCCTGCAAAAAACAACAAACTAAGCAAAAGTTATCTTCTATAAACAATTTTCTCTCGACGTTCTCGCTTCCTCAACTTTTTGTCGTCCATCTCTTCGCTACTCTCAGGGGGTGAAGCAGTTATCCAGGGCAGAATTAAGCCGAAGAAAACCTTAACAATAATGATGAAAAAA